TTTAGTCTGTTTCCTTAATTCTTAGCTGGCCGAGCTTGTGGATCTCGCGATGACACGGGCGGACTTGTATAATCAGAACGGGTGATATCTCTTACTGATTAAAAAGTATATTTTAAGAATGAGAGTGCTCTTCGATAATACACTTTTTTTTAATAAAAAATATGACATAACAGATATCGTAGATTATTATTCAATAATTAAGAATTATTTTATTCTATTTTAATTAACTAAAAATCTTAAAACACATTTAACCAAAAATTGGTTTGAATAATAAACCAATAATATGCATCTTAATTTTTTCTGAATTATTTTTGTGGGTCAAAATTAATTTTTACAATCTATAACAAATGATATCCTTATATTATGAAATAACTGGAATACTTTGTCATAAGATTTTATTCAGAATTATCAATATGCATCGATATGTCATTCATATCGGAGTTACCATTAACCATTCATGATGTATCATTTGATAATGCTTTGAAATACGATGCATTTTCACGCAACTGACTAAATAGTATGTTGACTGTTAAATCGATGACACGATGAAATACATGTATAACTGGCAAACTGCATGGTACTACATCGTGTGAATGATTGATCGTCTTCTATTCAAAAATAATTATCAAAATTGTTTCAAATATGGAGAACTCTATAATCACATAAATGTTATTACTGTTTAAAATAAATTATAATTAACAGAAAATCTTCAATATTTTGGAAGATATTCGCGAATACCGAGTACGTCGTCAGCAATACACAGAAGCAGATCGCTGACAAAAATATCACGTTTGACGATGTAAATTAAATTGCGTATAGTTTCATTTACAGCACGAAATATGATTTGTCGCATCTTTGTCGTCCCAACACGATATGCATCAACGAAGCGAAAGCGCGCATGCGAGAGAAAGAGAGAGAGAGAGAGAGAGAGAGAGAGAGAGAGAAAAAGAGAGAGAGAGAACGAGAGAACGAGAGAACGAGAAAAATAAGGGCATCAAAGCGAAAGGACGGAGAAACAGGAAAATAGCTAGACGAGTAGCAGGAGCGGTTATCATAACGCCAAGCTCGTATCTTATCCGCTCGAGCTTTCTTCCTCGCAGTTGCAATCGCATGCGTGGCTCACGCGCGGTTCATCAACGCATGATTAGCACAGAGTCGCCATGGATAATTTTGTTTGCAAGTTAAATGAGGAACTGCCCCTTTTTACGCAGGCTTCCGCATAGAAGAGAAAGAAAGAGAGAAAGAGAGAGAGAGAGAGAGAGAGAGAGAGAGAGAGAGAGAAACGGAAACCGCAAAAGGGAGGGAGGACAAAGGGCGCGTACGAAAGAATGGAGTAACAAACAAAAATTAACGAAGAAGGAAGCTGCCATAGCGGAAAAAGATACGTTAATAGAGTGATGGCATCCCAATTTGCATTAAATAACCGAATGTGCGATATGAGATTGAGATAAAAATTCGCAAGATAAAATTTAATGAGAATAGTAGCGTGACGTAGCGAATGACGTTGAAGGGTCTACCGACAACTTGCCACGATCACTTACGACGAGCTCAGACCTCTATCGTCCGTAATTAGTTTCCTTCGTGGAGATTTTGGTGGAACCATAATAAACTTGTTGCTAGCGAAACAAATTTGTGTTAAGAGACCGAGCAGGAAGAAAAGCAGAAAAACGAAAATAATATAATGTGGGTAATAGCGTATTCAAAGCGGGGGAGGGCAAAGCTGAGGCCGCACTTAAATCATTGCGCACGTATATATACACATATACCTATCCGTGCACCGATAGCAGCCGCTGAAGGTACATGGAGCATCTTTTGTGTGAGATAATGAGAAGGATTCAATTAGTCTGCGGCTGGCACTTAATGCTCCCTTCCCCGATTATAGCTCGAGCACGAGCGACGTGAATGCACCAATAAAATGTAAAAGTGCAAAAAAGACTGCGTGGCATACGCCGGCCACGTTATATAAAATCACAAAAAATACGCGTAACAACTGCAAAATGTGTCCCCAAATGCACAAATATTTCAATTTTTTTTTCTTTCAATAGTAATTATTTCAGTTCCTAGTTATTGATAAAATTGTGTGTCGCTATTTTTATTTAAAAAAGCATTAGAAGAAATAAGCTGAAATAAACTTCATATAGCTGTAAACTTTTAATTAGAGCAAAATCTTTGAAGTTTTCTCAGTTCTTATTTCGCTGCAGAATGCGCCAGACAAAATTTAATGACTTATGGCTGACGTTGCCCGTAAATTACGAAACCTACGACCAGCGGAATATGCGTTGCTCGTTTGTCGCACGTGCTGTCCTGGTGGAAAATTATAGCTTCAGAAAATAGTAAGTGCCGAGACGTCGGTGGAGATACGACCACCAACCATTAAATAATTGATAAAAGAAACAATTTTTACTGATTGCACTCATGGCAATAATGATATTTACAATTATACACAAAATCCGATGATAAAGAACATACTTTCATTAAATAATAAAAGCAATAAATCATAATGGAAAAACAATTTGTAGAAAATATTCATATTTTCGGATTAATAAATAAATATTTAGTATTAGAAGAATTTTTATTTGACAACTGCGTGACTTATCTTATCATTTCTACATAAACTTTCAATCTAATTTCGGAAACTTGCTCCTTCCAGATTCCGACACGTACAAAATTAGTAAACTTCACAAACTGAAAGATTGTAAGCTCGAATGTGCTTCAGCGATTCAACAAAAGAGCGACAAAATTCCTTAATGTCACGCGTCAAAGTGCATGCAATCACGCGTGGCTCTCAGTTAGTTCGATCGTCGGAATTTAATTACGGATGGACCGGATAAAGGCTGGCGGATAGCTCTTCGATGACATTAGCTGTAGGCTATGCGATCTCATATCGTCAAACCAATCCGCCGTACTGACAATCTACGCGGTAGAGCACTGAAATCCCTGTTTTCTTTTTTGGGGTTTTTCCTACGACACGAGCAAAAATATGGTATTGCCTCGTAAAGCAATGCTTGCATGTTATCAAATATCTGTTATCAAATATCTTTCAGAGTGTGATACATAAAAGTAATGTTACTGCGTGTCCAATAAACGTAAAGAAATAAAATAGTGCAGGTGTGCAGATTTTAGCAAATAAACTTTAACAATTTAGTTTAAAATTTGTACCTCGATCTTTCTCTAAATTTCTTCTTTCTAAATTTCTTTTTTTTCTAATAATAATAAAAGCTGATCTTTGTAATAAAAATATTATAATAATAAATAAATATTCTCTTTTCTTTAGCATTTTACAATTTTAAAGCATTTTCAAAAATTTTCAAAAATCGAAGATTTATGATAGGTACTTTATTCTGAAGCTTTGAGTAGTAAAATTTTAGTATTGTATCATTCAAAATTACATTTTACCAATCGCAATGTACAATAATATGAGAATCTTTTAGATCTGTTTTAGTAAAATTAATATTTGATCTAATTAAAAACAGCTGATAAAGTATAATACAATACTTTTTAATTAAAAATCTTTCTTTATCAGAACGAATTAGATTAGTAATCGCAAACATTGAAACTTCAAAACATTTATCTCCATTTATGTACTTAGATGAATAAATGTAGAACAGCCAAAGAGAATGTCAATTAATGACCGAGGAACCACTTTTAACCCTCTAAATTTGCGGAGAGGTAACCTGATGTTTATTTAAAAAGCCGCATGCAGGTGTCGATCGCGTGGCTGCCATTTATATCGCGTATCGTATTTTTTTTCCTTTTCGTGTTTGCTTCCTTTATTTTTCTTTTTAGGTTTACCTCTTTCCTCGCTTTCGCTTCACATTTTCCCTTCATTTTGGCAAAATACCAGAGTGCGTCATCAGTTTGCCTTTGACGCGCACCAGTCGGAAACACAGTTTCTCATAATTTCATAATCCAGTAGACTGAATGCAGACGAGATCTGGTTGAACGTGATGTAGAATACAATAACACCGAAATATTACGAATCATGTATGGAATGATATACGATATACACATATTGAATCTCTCTTTAATCTATTGTTCATGAAATAAATAACGTGTTTAATCTTGTTTAATAAATTAATACAAATCAATAAAAGGTTGTTAAAACTAGCAGTAACTGCAAAACGTAAAAATTTATTTATTTATTCAGTAAACTTTAGGAATACTTTTTAATTATCGACATAAATGTTATATTGTTACATGTATGCGATTTTTCTCCGTCTCTCTCTCTCTCTCTCTCTCTCTCTCTTTTTCTCTCTCTTCTCCTTTCTGACGGCAGTTAAACCGCTATACCAAATTTTTTTGTTGCTGCGTCAGCGGCCAATGGAGAATTTTTCGCCCGCAGATGATGCATGAGGTTATTAACGCCACAGGCGCCTCCACCTCACAAACTTTCACGAGATCACAAAGTTCAAGAAGCTTTTTCCGGTTCTTACATCTAACTTTTTTAAGTTTAGCTTGTGCCGTGCGATTTACAAGAAAAGTGTGACACGAAGGTAAACTGTGAACGCTATTCTTGTAAACTGCTTTACATTTTTATAACACTGTGTCGTTTTTGACGTTTCAATAATATTATATTGTTGAAAGCACTAGCTTTACCGCTTGACAGTATATTGGTCAACATTCTATGCGTGTATCATAAATTTGTATTTAATTAATATCGATTTATATGCGGTAATCATATAGTCGGGTCTTATATTTAAGACCGTTTTAAGTATAACCTTAAGATGTTATGAAATATAACTAATCACAGAGCCATATATCTTAAGACATTTACTTAAGACGGTCTGACTGAAATAAGAACGGACTATAAATACAGACTCATGTCGCGTCGATTATTCAAAAATTTTTAGAATAAGTACAACCCTATATTTATCAAATATCGTATTTTATAAAGAATGGAGACTTGTTCTTAAATTCCTTATATCGCTACATAAATAGGTATGCTCATTATACGAATAATAATAAAAAAAAATGTTTTAAAAGAAAATAGTAGTACTTACTAGATATGATGCTCCTCTTACGATTGGCGATGCAAAATTCTTCCGATACCTGCAATTAAAATCATTTGTCAGTTATAGATTTAAACGAGTTAACTATTAAGGATAAATTTTCAATGAATGAATTATACCAGAATGATAATCATAAAGCTATATAATATGTTTCACGAAACGTGGCAACTTTGAAGATATATATAGCAATTCTGACTCATATAGGGGTTGGCTTTAGCCAATACATCGGAAAAGCTCTTTACGTAATTGAATATTAATCAATCTCATTAAGCACGTACGGCGAGCATTCAGATTCAACGAACAATATGCAATATGCTTACGCATCTATATAAATGTGTACATGGAATTAGTTAGCCGACTTGTAAGCTGATAATCAAATCATCAATAGCTGCTATCGCATATAGGTACATGTGGCTAGACTGGATCAAATAAAATCATACTTAATGCACTAACAATTAAATAAATTTTTCGTT